ATGAAAGTTGTATTTTTTTTAATATACCATATCAATTGAATTAAAATGAGTAACAACGTTAAAAATTTAGAAAAATAAACTAGCAAAATAGTCTAAAATTTTTATGCATAGATAAAGAAATATAATAAATATGTCTTTTTATATAATTTTATTACAATAGTGTTACAATCTCAATCAATGTCTTATGAGAAGATTAACGTGCTTTCAGATTAAGGTATTATTACAACATATTTTTTTATAATATTTTTCTGTCATAGTTTAATAAATTATTTTATTTTTATAAGAAATAATAATTTAATTATTTAATAAATCATAAATTAATACTAACTTACTTCTGAGTACCGTTGTTTTTATAATTTAAATTTTTAGTACATTAAAAATAGTCAACTTTAACTTTAGATTTGAATTTTACAGTGAAACTCGGACATTTTTTCTTTTTAATAAATCTATATTTTATAGGATAAATATTAAATATAAAAAAATATTTTACCTTATTAACCTAATTTATTTTCGAGTTGATTTATTTTAATTTATAATTAATTTGTTTTTACCGTCTAATTCAAACTGACTCGGATTAATTTAGAGTTATAAAACATTATGCGTTAGTCACCTAGCATCGTCTAATAGATTAATATATAACACAAATTGTATTTTTAATGTTTGTTTTTATATAATCAAAATTTACTTAAAAATTAAAATTATTATTGATTTAATTTATTATTTTTATAATAAATATTAGTATATATTATTTATAAATATATAATTAAAATTAATATATATTAAAACAAAATTAGATAAATAAATTACGAATACGGATGTAGAACAACGCATATATGTTCAAATGAGAGAAAAAAAATTATTCTGTAATTTCTTTTGAACTTAAGAAAAAATGAATTAATTCATTATATATTTAATAAAGAAAATTCATTTTAGTACTGCAGTAATTAAGAAAAATAAAAAATAAATATAAGACTAATCAAATTAATATTATTTTTTTATTCTTTAAAATAAATGTTCATCCATTACTTCATATAAAAAATTCAATTATACAACAATTACTTCACTGCCTAGTTCATCGAAGCCTCATTTTAAAAAAAAAAAAAACATTTCACCATACATGATAATATAATATGGGAGTATGAAAAGGACATTTTAATTTCTCTTTAACACGACGAATAGATGCAGAGAGATAACTGTTAAGGATTTTTTATGTTTCTGTTGAGTAGATGCAGAGATATCTGTTAATGATTTTTGATACTCAAGTAAGAATACGAGTAACAAGGAAGTAAAATGCTAGTGAATTAAGTGAAATGGACCAAATATTAAATAGAGTGGATTATTGTAATTATATAAAATAATAAAGAAGTTCATCTTTATTTATTAAATAGATATTTTCGAGTAGTTTTTGAGAATCTTGAAATAAGTGTAGATATTTTGAGTACTCGATTATTATTGAGATGTTCGTTTATGGTTAATATAATCAGATATTCTCTTCAAATATCTTGGTGTTTAGTTGTTTCACTGAGTACAAATAATATTTTAATATGCAGGTGTAAAGATTGATGAACTTATATTCTCATCGTTTTGTTTTTTCTTTATTAGGTTCATTACTTATTATTTTTCTCCCTCTGACAACATATTAATAAAGAGAAATTTCATAATCATGTATGAATTTTGTATGTTCATGGTATTTGGGTGTATATCCTAATACATCATTCCCACATATTTTGTTTATCTACTCGGTGTTCCTTCATCTTGGTATTCAATTGCATGAACAACTTGATATTCAGTGGTACGAACAAATTGGTATAACATACAAATTACTTTAATGATTTTTTTGATAAACGATATTATTTACTAGGAAAAACAAAGAATGTAAACACAAAAAAATGTAAACCAAGTTTTCTAATAGTAACATAAAATGAGTTCGTAGCAATGACTGACGGGTCTATGCGGTCTTGGCCAAATGGGTTAGTTATTCTTAGTTAGGTAGATTTTCTTCCTAGCCTTATTACTTTTTTAGCTCAAAAGACGTTTATATCATTTGACGAGCTCGGATTTGGTTGATATCCTCAACTATCCATTTTTTTGCTTGTATGTGTTCAATGTCCAAGTCTATATTTGAAATTTTAGTATCAGTAAGATAAATAAATAAATCAATAATAATGATAAATAATATCCTTAATGATATCTTGTAAAGTTGAGTAATCTTTTGTATTATGATCATACTTTTGATGGTAAGTATATCTTTTAATCTAATTTGCATTTGGTGTTGTAAAGACTTGCTAAGGTAGAGACATGAACTCCAAATTGCATGCTTGTCGCAAAATGACTTCTTGAGAAGTGTTCAACGATGTGTAATTGTCACAATGAGTCTTTCTAGCTCACTTGAGGTGATTTTTCTCAGTTGTCTGGTCTATCTCTTCCCTTTTTCGACGAAGCTCGATGTTCTTCTCCAACTAGATGTAGTAAGAAGCTCTCGTTCTTAATTCTTCCATGTCTTTTGGCTTGTTGAGGTATATACTTTCCAATAACGATCCGATTTGGAGGTCAGTCATCATAGTGTACGTGAAGATCGTTGGTTCCAAGTTTGGTATGCTGAGGTTGACTACTACAAACCTCTCTAAGAATTTTCATAATGATTCTTCATTTCCTTGCCTAATGCTCTTGAACGCTGTTGAGTCGGCTTGTGGTAAATCGAGCTCGTAGCTTGCTCATGAGGTCCTCGAAACATGCGACAAACTCCTTTAAGAGTTTATAGTATCATTGATGTGCTACGCCTTTGGATGTTGTTGAAAAATTCGACATTTAAAAGAGTTTTTGTTCGAATAGACTTTCATGTGTGTGAGGTAGGCTCGAATGTGCTCTTTCGGATAAAAGATCCTAGTGCAGGAGTCAATCAGGGATGCCCACTAATTTTAGGAGAGAGATTCCTCGAGTATACTTGAAACAAACAAGTGTTTATATTTTGCCCGAGTTTGTATCGAAATTTGAGCTGACATTGCGGATTCTCCTTCCTTCTCAATTTTTTTTGACATGACTTTTTTCTTGACTTTCTTTGACTTGATTTCTTTCTTAATTTTCTTTGATTCTGCTTCTTTCTCAACAATAGGCTTTTATGGTTCATAGTTTTTTGTGAATCGGTGATGGTATTTTGTAGCTCGTAATTGGTGTTGTGTGGCTTAGAGTGCTTGGAATGAGAGCAGGACTCCACGGTGGCCGCAGTTGCATTGTCATTTGGGACTGTGCTCCGTAGTGTTATTTGTTTTTTTGGTGACCTCGTCAATGCATTCATATACGGTCTTTAATTCTACTTGGTGTTGCTTTCGATCTTGGTAAGCTTTTTCTTGTAGGACTCAAATTTTCGCATTTGTTTGTTGATGCAACTCGTTCATGTGGGTTTTTAGGTTTTCGATGAGTACAGTTTATTCCATGATATGTGGGAGATGATGGATGTCTTATTGTCTAATCCTGAGGTGAATGTAGTAAAAGTTTTATCTTACTCTATGATAGACGCCAAATATTGTTACTAAACTTTAAAGAGAACATCCGAGCTTCTCTCTAACAAGCTCAATAGGTGCAGAGAGATACCTATCAATGATTCTTTGATATTTAAGTAAACATGTAAGTGAGAAGGAAATAGAATGTGATTGAAAGAAAAGAAATGGAGTATTGAACCTGTTTTATATAGGGATGAATTATAATTTAAAATGTTATATTTTTATATTATATTATTAAAACATATAAATATATTATAATATTACAATTTAAACAATAAATACTAACAAATTAAATTTAAATTATTTATTATAATTAAATATTTGAATATATAAACATAATACTTTTTTAATTTATCTAATAACAAATATTAATTAATAAATAATTTTTAAAAAATATTTATATAATTAAATATCACATAAAATTAAAAAAAAAAACTTGAAAAGACCAAACACTATATCAATGTTTACTTATTTTAATCATATTTCATTTATCATTTAAAATATTTGAAATATTTTTTTCTTTGTCCATAATTTCACTACTATCAAATAAAAATATAAATAATTTATATATATATATATATATATATATATATATATAATTTAAAAAATTTATAATTTTTTTCACAATATTGTTTTTTTTTCTATTAATTGGTTTTTATTGTTATTTTTTTTTCTATTTTCCAATTTACTACCTTTTATTACAATTTTTTTTTAATTTCTCTTACTCTTCAAAAGTAAGTGAAGTACTGGTGGTTCTTCTTCATGTAATGTTATTATTTTATTACTTGTATTGCGATGAAAGATGCTAAGATTTATTATTTTCGTTATTTTTATAATAAAAAATGAATAAAATTCTTATATTTATTTTAATTTCTATTAAAAAAACTCATATTTGAATTCATAGATAAAATATGTGAAGAGAAAAGTTGAACAAGTAAACTAATAAAATAAAAAAAACATTATGAAAATAAAAATTAATAAAATAATAAATAATTGATGTAACTTATCAGATTTATAAACACACGTTATAACCGTTATTTTTATTTTATTTTTAATGTTTGAAATAAGAATAATTTTAATTGAAGTCACCGTACATAAATAAAATAATAATAATTATTACTTTACCAGTGAATTCATTTAAACATTTCTTCACAAGACAACTCAACGTTTCTCAGACACTGATCTGGCGATACACACACGGTATCAGGTAATGCAATGTTAGAAAGGATTTTAAATTTTAATATTCGTTCAAAACAAGTAAAAAAGTTAATAAAAATAATATAAAGCCAATCCATGATACATTTGTCAGAGGATGCATTTATAATATTTGTATAATGTCTCACGTTCAAGAAAACGGAAAATTAAATATAATGCTAATATAATTAATAGCATTAAATTTTTTCTTTTAAAAAATATTTAATTGAAGTTACCATATAAAAGAAATTCAATGTAGAATAAATTTTGTACTTATTAAATATCTTTTAACAAAACTCCCCAAAGTTTCAGAACCCAACCACAACTTGATCTAGCTGTACACACGGTAATGTACTTTTTTTTTTTTAAATTATGTAATTTTTACATAATAATAATAATTATTATTATTATTATTTTTCACTTTTAGTTTATTCACAAAATTTAAATTGAGATTTTGCTTTAAGACCACAGTATATTGATCATGCTAATGTAGTGATGGAAAGAATTTTAAACTTCCAATATTTTTTTTTTAACTATTGGCAAAAATAATAAACACATGTCTTTGTATTGATGAAGTAATTATAAATGAAAAGGATAACAATACTAATAATCACCCCCATGTTAATATATTATTATTATTATTATTATTAATTTTATATATCAGGTCAAAACAAAAAATATTTGCCTTATTTAAAAGATTTCAGAGGTGAATGAGAAACACTATAAAAACCTCTCACCATGATGGCCTAACATGCACCGCACAGAGTAAGCTTTGAAACTCTGATCGGAGCCCAAATTCTCTCAACTCCCATCCACCGTGTTCCAAATCATTCACAAAACACAAAGAACTTTCTCTACTCAATTTCCCGCGATGCTTCGTTCGTGTGTCTTCAGGTTAGGCCTTTACCTGATTCTCCCTATGCTTTTTCTTCATCGGAATCAATGTAGTTTTGGATTATGTTATTGCGTTTTGGTTTTCGATTTTTTGATATCTGTAGCGGTAGTATCCATTGGGGGAACAATGTTGAAGGGATTTTGTATTTCTTGAACGGTGTTTGTTTATTTTATTTTATTTTATTTTGTAACAGAAACGGAACCACCAATGTGGTCTGTCACGACCGAAACGGTGCGGTGTTGCAACCCGTTTCCGTGGACTATATGAAGCCTTGGATTTTATGCGATTAGAAGTATTCAATTTTTTTTTTAATTTTTTTTTTCTGTTTTTGATTGTTACTTCGTTGCGGTTTTTATTTGTTCTTTTGAAGGCCTGCATGAGCGATGGTTAGCCCTTTTTTGTGAGTCATAGGGTTTGTTTGATTTTTTTCTTTTTTTCGAAAAATGGTTTTAGTTTTCAAAATTCAATTACACAAGGTTGCTCACCTAGCTTATCGAGGATGGTGCAAGGCACAAAGTAGGGTGTGGAATTGAATGGGAGGCTGCACAAGATTAAAATTGAAAATGAAGAGGAGAAACCATTTTCCTATTGTTTTAATTTTTTGTATTGTGAAAAGACTTGCTTTAGAAACAATTTCAAAATTTGATAGATTTTAGATGAGCAATTGTTATTGAGTAGTATGGAATTGTTTTGGAGAACAGTTTTAAAAAACAAGTGGTGGATCATAAATTTCGAATTTATTTTTTAATCTCCTCTGTTGTTAATTGTGGATGTTTGGTTAAGTTGTTCATTTGAAGAGTTCGATGAGCGAGAATTTACTTCTAAGAGATTTAAAGAAGCATGCTTGGTTCTGTTACCCTGATAATGAAATGAGTGATTGAAAGTAGAAACTGTGGTTTGGCAATTGTGCATTTTGATTATATCATGATCCTTTCTTTTGCAATTTCCTTCTCTACGATCAGCAAGGGTTTGATTGTTTGGTTGCAAGGGACCGAGAATGTGAAAATGCAATGGAAATCTATATCATGATATTGTTAAGCTTATTTTGAAAATTCCGCACTCAAATATCAACATTGAATTTGTAGTAACCTAATTTTTTAGAAAGATGTTGGGAATTAAGGGATAGAAACAAGCATTCGGCAGAAATCTGTTATTCATTATGCCATGGTTTGTTTGTTTGTTTTTTCTCTCCTTTGTTGATAATGTAGTTTTATCATTTCGATTCTTCGTAGGGTTTTTGTAATTGAAGGGATGTGCACGTGAACTTGTTGGGTTCTGGGTCTAAATAGTTTATTGTTGGGCATTGTCCTTGTTGGTATCACGTCGATGTATACTTCAAAGGAAGGAAATAAAGAAAAGTAATTAAAGGCCCTTTGGAGAAACACACTGGCTAGCATGGAATGTAAAAGGGATGGTGCTTTAAGGGCCAAAGAACTTGCAGAGAAGATGCTTTTACAGAAGGACTTTGGTCGGGCAAGAATGTTTGCAATGAAGGCTCTAGAATTAAATCCCAATCTTGATGGCCTTCCTCGATTTCTAGCAACTATTGAGGTGTATATCTCAGCTGATAAAAAAGTTAATGGAGAAGTTGATTGGTACAGGATCCTTGGTGTGCAACCCTTGGCTGATGAAGAAACAATTCGAAGACGATATAGGAAACTGGCTCTGACTCTGCACCCTGATAAAAATAAATCTGTAGGTGCAGATGGGGCATTTAACCTTATCTCACAGGCTTGGAGTTTGTTATCTGATAAAGCCAAGAGAATCAGCTATGACCAAAAGTACAACTTATGGCGTACATTCCATGGAAATCCTTCTGGGAAACCATCTATGCCAGCTAATCAGAACGGTTTATATAGTAATGTCTTCACTCCTGTGACGTTGAAACATACATTTTGGACCATTTGCAATTTCTGTGAGACAAAGTTTGAGTACCATAATGTTTATATTAACTCTGATCTTGTCTGTACATGCTGTCATAAGCGATTCATGGCTTCTGAGACATCGCCTCCAGCTGGATACAGAAATGGGTCATCCACTTCAAGAATATCTCAGATGAAGCAACATAACTTCAACTCAAGCAGAATGGAAAGAAGTAATTATCATGTTCCTGGAAGGACACTAATGTCTGCTGTCAATTCAGCACATGGGTCGGGCCCTTTCTCTATGCCTAATGGCACTTCCCGCTTTCCAACATCAGCTTCTAGTGTTGCAGAGGCTCATGGTGCTTTTAGTACGCTTTCTGAGAATTTGAAGAGAAGGTATGAAGATTCAACTGCGTGGAGGGAGGATGCACATTTTGGGAAAACTTATGTTGTTGAGAGAACTGGTGCTGGTTCAGTTTTTCAGTCCTCTCGATTTGGTTCAAATTCTAGTATGAACGGTGACAAGCCAAGGAAGAGAAGGTCCACTGATGAACATAAAGTAGGTAGCGATAGAAGAGATATGGAAAACAAAACAGTATCTCAAAATGAAGGAACAAACTTGGCTAATGAGTTCGGGTCAGGAAGGGTAAATGCTGCTGGAAATTACAGACGCAATGGTGCCAGGGACTTATCACAGCTTCAAATGAAGCAGATATTGGTGGAAAAGGCTAGGAAAGAGATTCTGAAAAAGCTTGATGAGTGGAAAGCTTCTTCTGCATCAAAGAGTCTAGACAAGTCAAATAACACTGAAACAGAAATCAGTGAGAAGGGGAACAATAGGGGAGTTAAAGGTTTAAAACCTGGTGAGCAAGAATTTGTGGATACTAAGGCTGCGGGCAAGAAGCGCTTTTCTGCTGATCCAGATCCTGAACTGCCTGGTTCTCTCTCTATGAATGTTCCGGACCCAGATTTCCATGATTTTGATGGAGACCGAATTGAGAATGCTTTTGGAGAAAACCAGGTGTGGGCTGCATATGACAATGATGATGGCATGCCTCGCTTCTATTGCTTAATCCATGATGTTATCTCGAAGAATCCTTTCAATATGAGGATAAGCTGGTTGAATACCAAAAGCAATGATGAATTGGCCCCAATTAAGTGGATCAATTCTGGCTTTCTTAAGACCAGTGGAGATTTCAGAATAGGAAAGCGTGTGTCCTATGGCACTCTTAATTCCTTCTCGCACAGGGTGAAGTGGACAAAAGGTTTGAGAGGGGTTGTCCATATATACCCGAAGAAAGGTGACGTGTGGGCACTGTATCGGAACTGGTCTCTTGACTGGAATGAATTCACTAAAGATGAAGTAATACAGAAATATGACATGGTGGAGGTGCTTGAAGACTTCAGTGAAGAGCAAGGTGTCAATGTTGCCCCTCTTGTCAAGGTTGCAGGTTTCAAGACAGTATTTCGCCAGAATGTTGATCCAAGAAAAATCAGGAATATTTCGAAGGTACAGATGTTTCGTTTCTCACACCAGGTACCTTCATACTTGCTTACCGGTGAAGAGGGTCCCAATGCTCCTAAAGGTTGCTTGGAGCTTGATCCTGCTGCTACGCCAATGGAACTTCTTCAGGTGTTAACTGAAGATCTGGAGCAAGAAATAGTAATGACAACTGAAAAATCTGTGGAAGGTGAACTGAAGCATAAAGAGAATGCCAGGGAGGAGGGTTTGCTTAAAGAGTGCCAGACAACTAAGGAGGAAGGTTCTGATGAAGGATTGGGAGAGAAGAGACGCAAGCCAGAGATTTTGTTTGTATATAAGCGAAGACGTCTGGGGCAAAAGTGAGCTGTGAAGTGTTAAGTATTAAAGTAATGTTAATGACTGAAAGAGATCCTGTGTTCCATTTAGACAGAGATAGCAAATTTAATTAGTAACCAAAACAATAGCTTACAATCATCAACTCAACATATATTAGAACAGTTTTTGTTGTTTTTGCTGTATATTGGCCGGACTACAGTTTTGCATTTAGTGTTGCCATTGCCCTCAGGACTTTTTTCAGATGTATCTATAAACTCTATGAAATGCCAATGTACGCTAGTTATTAGTTTCTGCACCTGCAAGTTAATAAATTTCAGCATCATTTTTATCTTTTTCGACTGGGAAACATCATTCTCTATGTTTCAGAACTCGTTATTAATCTCTGTTCAGAACTCATTATTTTCTAAAGAATCCGGGCCAAATTATACACCACAATATGCAAAATCTTTTTCTTACACCTCACGGATTAAATCATATATAGCTTTTAAGTTCCTCATGAAGTTATTTCGAAAGGTATATATATATATAGAGAGAGAGCTGGAGGTTGGGACTTTTTGTTATATATATATATATATACGTGGGTAAATTGTTATTCATGCATTCACCATTATCATTATATTCTTCCTATACTTGGAACTTCCCTACATTTTTAAATGAATTTCTAAAGTTGAAAAAGGTCTTAAGTTTTTCACTAATGCTCATTAATTCTTGTTAAATCGAAGATACTAGTTTTAAGAATTGATAAAGGTTATATGAACTTATTCAATTATACTATATACCAATTAGTTTCGTGTCTGTTTGATTTTTAAATAAGTCATCCTATGTAGTAGGTTAACGTAGTCTAGATGGAAAGTATAGAAATTAAATCATAAAAATTTAAACTATGAAATCTCATTATAAAATGAGTAAATTTTGTAATAATTTATAATTTGTTTAATCTTATATCCTTAAGATAAATTTGATATAACTTAAGTCCTTATATGTAATAATACTCTTTCAATTAATTAACATCTTTTAAGGGAAAATAGTTAATTTAGTTTGGTTTTATCAAATGGAAGGTGTTGTTGGTGAAATTTCAAGTGAAGAACGAAATAATTTGAAATAAATGAAAAATGATAGAAATGAATGAGAATTAAATTTATTATTAATAATTTTATTTATTATTATAAAAACAAAAGAAGTCCTAGTCTATTATATAATATAAATATTAATAAAATATTAACAAATATTTGTAACATAACACGATAAACATCTATTTTTCTCTCGAAACTCGTATTTTCCGCGCTTTACAGAGATAAAAAAAACTTTCCGTATTCCATCTTTTCGCGCCTGAATTCAGAAATTGCTATTTGGCTTGTGCAATTATAGCAATTTAATTACAAATTAAACAATGAAGATGTATCTTATTTTATATTTAAATTTTAAATTTGAAAAGATAAAGAAAGAATAAAAATAGAAATAAATATTAGATTTTTGTTTAGATAATATTTAGAAAATAATTCAAGATTGCGAAAGATTGTAGGATTAGATTCTGGCGCCAAGACTTTTTATAAAAATATTATATACAATTATCTGTGATATTCAATAATCTTAAGAAATGAAAGCATCAAAATGCATAGAAAAGCATTGAACTCCTTTTTAGTACAAGCATACATAATCTAATAATATAGCTTCTCAGAGCACACAAGACTAATAACAAGTTGAAAGCAACGAATCAAAGCATATCAACTTAAAAAGGTTGAGAGTAAACAGAGTCTTAAATTTTCCCCCATTTCTCATCAACAAAAAGGGCAAAAGAAATCTTATGAGAAAGAAAAACAAAGAATCTTATGTCTAGAAATCCCATCTGAAAATAAATTAAATTAAAATTACAAGATAGACAGCACATCGCACATATTTTTTCTTCCAAAGAAAATCTTTTGACGGTGATGTTTGATCCCAAAAGTCAAATATGTGATTAAAATAACACGTTTTATTAACATGTTAAATCTTTATGACGTATTACGCTTTTATTAATTTCTGTCTTTGTGAATATTTTAACTCAAAAATTTATGTATCTTTCGATATCATGTCATAGAGAAAATAACTTGTCTTCATGTTGCATTACATTTTCATCAATTTTAACGATGTTCCATTTATGTTTCACTTATTTATAACATCCTTTTACAGAACATTTTGTATACAATTAGATGTCACATAATATTCTCATCTTTCTTTTTGAGATTATGAATGATCAACCCTTCTTGTTATTTTCTTCCTACTCATCTTACCTTTCACTACTTCTTGCTCATATACGAATTATTTTCCCATCTTTTTTGTGTGATACATTATTCTTAACGTGTTATGTTTTTTTTAATGGAATGATCCAAATGTTGATAATTATATTTTTTAATAGATTTTTTTCTTTCTTTGCACAACTAGCTTGTGTTCATCATATGGAATATTAATTAAATCTTATAATTTATTTTAATCTCCAGATTTCTCATGGTAGAATTTGATTATGTTTTACATGTCTAAAGTTGCTAAACTTGATAAAGTGTAGTAATGTGAAGAAAAACTTAATTTAAATAAATTTGTATAATTAATAATTGGAAAGTGAATAAATTATTTGAAAGAAAAAAAAGTAAAAACATTATACAAAAACAATTACAGACATAAAGTGACAAAATATGAAGTAGAAAATCACATGCAGGAGAAAGAAACATTGAGATGATGACAAATGGTTGGAAGGAAAGAGCTTTTGTTTTGCTAGCAAAAGCCAATTACATTCCACCCTCTCTCACAAGAGGACGGACCCAATACAGTGTCACAGCAAAATAAACGCTAAACAGAATATCTATACATATAATTAAAAAATTCAAATTAGTCTTTTAAAGTTAAAAAAAAAATTCTCAAAACCGTTAAAAATAATAAATAAAAATATTATTATTAATAAATGATGGACAAAACTTTTCAATTAATAATATTAAAAAAAAAGACATTTATTTACGTTAAATTATGTTACGTTTACCTTTGTTCCGTTGAATTGAATCCATTGTTTGGGCTAGGTTAGGTTGAGTCCATACTTTGTTTACCTTATCCCACCACACCACATCACACACTTCTTCTATTTTATTTCCAATTCTCTCAAAATCAATCTCTTTTTTCTCTCTCTTATTACTCTCTCACACTACACTGAACAGCAATCAAATTCTAAGAATTGGGGGAATGGAAAACAGCCAGCAAGGGGGCCAAGGGCAATCGGGGGCGTACCCCGGTGCGGCGGCCGGAAGTGCAGGTGCAGGTGCAGGCGCTCCCCCCTTCCAGCATCTCCTCCACCAGCAGCAGCAGCAACTGCAGATGTTCTGGTCGTACCAGCGGCAAGAGATCGAGCACGTCAACGACTTCAAGAACCACCAGCTTCCCCTCGCCCGCATCAAAAAGATTATGAAGGCCGACGAGGATGTCCGCATGATCTCCGCCGAGGCCCCAATCCTCTTTGCCAAGGCCTGCGAGCTCTTCATCCTCGAGCTCACCATCCGCTCCTGGCTCCACGCCGAAGAGAACAAGCGCCGCACCCTCCAGAAGAACGACATCGCCGCCGCCATCACCCGCACCGACATTTTCGACTTCCTTGTTGATATCGTCCCGCGCGACGAGATCAAGGACGATGCTGCGCTCGTCGGCGCCACTGCTAGTGGTGTGCCCTACTACTACCCTCCCATTGGCCAGCCTGCCGGCATGATGATTGGCCGTCCCGCCGTTGATCCCGCCACCGGGGTTTACGTCCAGCCCCCGTCCCAAGCCTGGCAGTCCGTCTGGCAGTCCGCCGCGGAGGACGCATCCTATGGTGGCGCTGGGGGAGCTGGTGCCCAGGGGAGCATTGATGGCCAGAGGTAACTAACTGATTCTCAGTTATTCTGTTTGGTCTTGAAGATAAGAAAAAAAAGAAAAAGAAAAAAGAGAGACAAATAAGGAAGAAATAAATGTGAATGTTTAGATTTTTGTTAGAGTAGAAATAGGGAAGATAAAATTCTCTCCACTATATTTAAGAGTGGAAAACGCAATTCTTGAAGAGAAAATGTTCCACTATATTGTGCATTGGTACATGCATGATGGGTTGCTGTTCCACATCCAAAAGATTTCGAAAGTATTTACTTAGAGTAGCAGAATATTTACTTGTAGAGTAGCAGAATTATTCAGAAAGATAGTTCAGTTATTATTTTTTTACAAATTGTGTGTATATGTCTCTATTTTATTTTTCAATAATATATATAATACTCAATCCTACATCAATCCCAATATTGTAGGCAGGCATAGTACGAAGAGATATCAATGGAAACTTAACTAGTCTAGTCAAATTAAGTCCCAAAATATAAGGAACTAAAAATTAAAAAATAAAATAAAAATAGTGGGTAAATTTTATTCCTTTTTTAAAAAAGACTAATTTTAATAAAGATATATTTTTATTTTAAAATTTAAATTACAAATTTAAAATATTTATAACTGTTTAAAAATTAAAGGACACACACAGTATAATATTGATTAGATGAAAAAGAACCAAAGAATAGTTTTTATTGGAGCATAAGATATTATATTTAGTTTAAGTAACCTTTCCTTTTTGGGTCTTATATAGAATAGATAGCAAGTGGTTGGTTACCTGTTGAACTCCATCTATGGAAATACCATTCACAAGGTATTCATCAAGAATTTTTTACTATTGAACTAGGAGATATAAGTTTATTCAAGTAATTAAAAACACCTTCCAAAGAGTAGCATACTTTTTCAGGAAGAGAGATGAACTTTTATTTTATTTTTTAAGATAGACTTGTCTATTTATTTTTTTTAATTAAAATATATATATATATATATATATATATATATATATATATATATATATATATATACTTCCACCCACAACAGGCCCCAAAATAAAACTGATCTGGTCAAATAATATCCCAAAATATAAATAACTAAAATGTTTTATCCTTTAAAAAAAACTAATTAATAAAGAGATTTTGTTTATTTTAAATTACAAATATAATAATATTTACCAACAGGTTGTTCTGAATTGTGTCTATTGTAATCGTTTTTGTGTTAATGTTGTCATAGTTTGCAATGTTGACATCCTGTTATTATATTTTGCAAAGAATCATGTATTATTCAATGAAGGAATGCTTGGACGGCCTTTTTATGCCTTATTGGTCTTTGGTCTCTTCAAAGTTTTATTTGCATGAAAATTTGAGCTGTTATGAGTATCTATTTCAACTATTTGGAGGTGAATGTGATATCTTAAACTAGGAATGCATGAATTTGGGGAGGGATTTTGTCTCAGAAGAAACGAATATCTCCTCTTATTTTTTTTGTCGTGGAATATCCTTTGGTGGAGAAGTAAATGTTAATTTCTCAAGTTACTAAGATCTATTTAAGGGGATGACTCCTCCCAACATCCATATATTCTATTTCAAACAAGCAAAGTGGGCTTTATTCAAATGATGAGTCTTTGCCCCTATTCTCGCAATATGGACCTATCATTTTAGGAAAGAAAAACTATGAATAAATTAACTTGAGAGATTCATCACAGGGTTATACGAGCTTTAGATATTTTAACATTGCTAAGGTTATTTCCATCGTACTTTTTTAGACTTCTGAGATGTTTACAACTTGGTATTTGAAATATCGTAATAGAGAGTAGGATTGTTCCACATTTTAATTATTAAGCCCAATTCTATCCAATTCATTTATTGGATTAGACTGTAGAGCCAGTGTTAATTTTGCTGATCTGCGAACAGTTTAATACAACTTGGGCAACTTTTTTCCTGTCTTAAGTTTTGACCTTTATGTTGTCAATCAATTGCTAATGAAGAGGTGAGACACCACCAAACCCTTTATTAGTGCCACAGTGATGACTATGGATAAAGTCAGGTTCTTGATGTGTTTAACACTTGTCAAGGCCATCATAATTGAAGTAGCTGGGGGAGGCTACCTATATTTGAAATGGGGCAAACTAGTTAATATGGCACATATCCTCCATATGATTATCAATTTAAGATGTTTTCTAATTTGATTGAATATTTAATCAGCATGAGATTTACTCACAGCTTATTAGAAAACAATGTTCATGTCTTTCAATCTTATATTCTTTAATATATATTTTAAATATATACTTGATTACTAAGTTTTCAAAACTAGTGTCTTTTTGACCCAATGCCTTAATCAAGTTGATATGTGGTCCAAGCTTGATAACCATGTTTCATGAGTAAAGATAAATTTTGATATTGCGAATGTTTTCATCCCTACAGTCTCAAATTTGACTAGACAATGAAATAATGTGTTATATCTGATGGCAATTGTTTCACTTTGTTGCGTCTGATTTAGTAGCATAATTTGTATTCCATTTAATGTGCTTTACATGGAAAATATTTGGAGTTGGAGCTCCTCAACACATTAGTTGTTTACTTGATTCCACAGTCAGTTAGGATATTATTTCTGTTGCATCTTGGTATGGGTGGATTTTATAGCCTCAACCTTCGTTGAAAATTAGAAACCTGAATAGAAACCTGAATGTTCTGCTCTCCGTTCGGTGATCAATCTATTCAAAATTCCTGGAGGGTCTTTAAAATTCGAGTTAATTCAGAGTAATTTGAATTCTGAAAAAACCCTCCTGGTATAGTCAATCTTATCTTAGTAACTATCAAATGTATTAGATAATGGCTAACATTCTCTCTCATGGACCAAGGTCCCAAGAGATGTTTTAAACCAGGTGAGACATATTGATGTAAAATAAAGTAAGGTGCAGAATTTAAAAACATAAATTAAGCAAACCCAAGAAAAATTTCCACTGGACATTAAGATAGTTGCCTATCTAGATGTGAAGGTTCATTTCCGAGGATTGTGAAGGAAGGAGGAGATGGAATGAAACTAGAAAAGAATAAAGACAAGAGATGGAAAAATGAATCAGCCTCTTGGATAAAGAAATGGAGTGAAGAAATAAAGAAGAAAGGATGAAGAGAAAAGAAGTATGGTGGTGGTGGAGTGTTAGCACACTACTAGGGGATGAGTCACCCTAGATAAGTGGTGGTTGCCGTCACTTGAACCAAGGTTCAAGATAAGATACTCAAAGAGATGGAATACTCTAAAAAACTTCACAAACTTGTCATAAAATGTTCAACCTAATTACATGAGGGAAAACCTTCTATTTATAGGCTTTTGGGGGAAAGACCTAGATGAAATTACAAAAGGAGATATAAACTTAACCTAAACCTAAAGACTAGAGTCCTCATGATCCAAATATGTTAAATTCGTTATAGCCCACCAAAAATACCTCTAAACGTGTGGAGAATATAACAAAAGAGGTGTGCTTCCTTTTGGGTTGTCCCAAGCCTACCAATTCTGCATCCTAAGCTTCTTTCTCTCCAAAAAAGGGTATAGGACATGAAAAAGGAGTGTCCTACACCTTTGGGCTACCCATGCAACCATCTTATATGTCCAAGCCTTCTTTTTCACCAAAAAGAGGTGGTGGTCTGCAAAAAGGAGGTGAAGTGGTCTTAAAAAAATATGCGAAAATGAGTTTCTAAAATTTAAGAAAATAAATGCTAAGAAAATTTAAAGTGGAGGGTGAGAAAGAGGCTTCCCTATTAGTCATACTCCTAATGATCCTCCAAGGGATGACCTCTCCGGTCTCCGCTCATCACATATGATGATAAGTCAGGTTAAGATAGCCGATCCAAGACATATGAGCTCTGTCTAAATCTGAGAGGGTACACAACCCATAAGCTTGAGCCAAAAAAAGTGAACAAGGTACAAAATACTGAATAACATAACTAACATATGGCTCAGCCTTAAACTGAGAGGGTACAATTACACACCATAATTTGTCAATTGTTCTCTTCTCTTAAGTAACTCTTTTTGTTTTTTAGTTGTCTTACTTCTGGGGGAGAGGGAGAAGGAAGTTTTCAAATTTTATGAAGAGAAGTCTAGAGGAATGTAGTTCATTGGTAATTCTTTTAGGGCTTAATTTATTCATCTGTTTGAGTTATGTATCAATAGTATATTTATTGGCTTATCTTCGCCCACAATCTTGTACATATGGCTTCAACTTAAATCATATTGTTAATTAATGTGTGTTCAGCCTCCTTCCTTTGAGGCATTTATGGGAACACTAACTTAATGTCCAATATGAAATTTCTGCCATTAATGTGAAAATTTAAAAGTTGTAAACGCAGTATCTGTCTTATGGCTTAATAAGTTGCACGAGTTAACGTGTAACACCAACTTTTGTGAGATTGTAGCCATTGAGTTCAAAATATTGTATTACTTATTAGGGTATGTATTTTATTTGGATTCAATTGCATGGACCTTAAGTCCCACATTGAACTTTTGTGAGGTTTATAATACCTTGACTCTCCAACTACATAACTAGATTTTCTGATGTGATGCTCTTAAGGATGTTATCAATTGGTACGAGAGCTTTCACCATATATGCATTGCCTTGCATTAGTTAAAGAACTAGTGGACGGCCACCCTGTGTGGTAGCTGGGCCCAGGAGCATGGTAAAATGTTAGTCATATTCCATGGAAGTGTTTATAAGCTAATAACTTTTCTTTTAATTTTCTTAATTCATTCTACTTAAGGTGAATTAAGAACCTGTTAGTTCTTATATTGGAGCAGAAAAATAGATGGGATTTGGGTTCAATGTTAGAATTCCGTTGCGAGACATGGGATTGGAGTCCCATGTTAGAAATACAAGATTATACTAAGGATATTTTAAGGCCTTGAAATATAACCAATACATTTTGTATTGTGTTATTCTCAAGGTTCTTATCAAATGGTATGACAGCTTCACGTGCAGACATTGCTATTTTGAAAAAGAAGGCTTGGACATGCAACCATCCTATGTCTCCAAAAAAGGGTATAGGACATGAAAAAGGAGAGGAATGCTATTATCTAATTGTAATTAGGCAGGTGGGTTGGTCACATGATTGAGAAAATGGTCTGTTAGGTATTAAGTACGAAATAATAGATCATTCACTTTGAAAAACTCTAAATTAAATTGTTGTCATTTGCACTGAAAATTTGAATGCAACTCTCTCACGTAAGACTGAGAATTGGAAATCAAAGCTACACACCTCTCCTAGCCTAGTTTTCCTGTTACAATTGTCTAAGAAAATGTTAATTTATAATTATTTATTTTATTTTCCTATGAAGTATGTCTTGCTTGCATGTGTATTTTTTTTTTGTTTATGATCACTATTAATCTATAGAGATTGAAAATGATTCTGATGCTTTTGTTTTGTTGTCTGCAGCTGAGTTACTCGCGATAATGCCATCCATGGATTGTAAGGAGTTATGAAGATGCCGAACATGCTTGGAATTTTGATTATTTGGAATTTAGAAATGGTTTTGTTAACTAAATTTTTATGGGATGGCACTATGAACCTGTTAACTGGATGAACAGCATGATTTAACGACTTATGTACAAAAATTGAAAATTAAACATTGATCCTCGTGTTTGAAACATGTTTGATCATATTTCTTCATAAGTATCTCGTGACACTAATTAATGTTTTTTATATATTTTTATCTTTAGGCAGATTTTTTATAACTAAATGTATTCTTAAAATAAACACTAATTAATGGATTATAAATTTAATTAAAAGAAACATAAAAAAAATTTACTTGTCAAAAGATTTTCAAATGCTAGATTTGTTTTATTGACTATCTATATCAGTGTTGACTGAAATTTTTATTCCCATTAATCTTTAATCCATTCAGAAATAATGAACAAATTTAATAATAACATTTTAAATAATAATATTTTTATTTTTAATAAAAATTAAAAACCTACTTATGTTAAATTTCTTAACGCGGAAATGTTAAAGCATTCGAGTTACATGCGAGGAATCTAGTTTTGACATTTTTTGTGTTTTTTTGTTTTACATACCATTCATTTAATCTCTTTTATTATTTGTGTCTAACTTTTCAGCCAACCTTTTTTACCTTTTCTTTCTTTCCAACTTAATTAATGTGTTTATAATGTCATATCATATGTTTATCGTGTTTATAATGTCATATGATATGTTTAACATGTTTGTACTATCCCAGTATATAATTGCACTTTAATCTGATATTAAATAATCAATAACAAAATTTATTTTGACCTGTTTTCAATGATTTAGGTGCAATGTGTTTGGTCATACAATAATTACAAGTTTGGTTTGCATAATTTTCACGGTGGAAATTGTACACAAGTTTGGCTGAACTAATCGAAATTGTTTGAACTAATCTCAATATACATTTTACTTTAAATTAAGTTTTAGCTTAGAGGTGGTTTGGTTTTTTAAAAACTAAATTAAAGAACAATTCATTTTTTTTAAATAGTTCAAATAAATCATAATGGATTCAATGAGTCATTCATAATTTTATAATATGAATTAGGTCATACTTACATATGCATAATTTGATATATATAAATAAATAAATAAATAAATACAGCTAGGATCAAACAAGTAGTATGAGTGTATGTACAAGATGTTTAAGTGTTATAGAGTGTATGTACAAGTAGCATGAGTGTATGGACAAATTTTGGATGGTATATTAATTACTAAGATTGTGCATTATGTTACTAACATAAACAAAACATTAAATATTTCAAAGTTGGTTCTGAAAAGTATATGATTATGTAGGTTAAGAATTTTTGGATTTTGGGATGAAAGGGTTGGGGCTAAATTTTAGATGGAGAAAATGAATTAAGGAGTGATTTTAATTAATGGTTGTCCAACATAAGAGATTGTTTGTGATGGGATAAGCCAAAGCAATTCATTATCATGTTGGTAGATGGCAGAGAAAGCTCACTTTTTGAACTGTAAAAGTGGGACAGTTCCTTTCAAATGTATTATTGGGTTAGCCATTGGTGCAAATCATGGATGAACGGCAACATGGTATGTGGTGGTGGATAAAGTTCAGAAAAAGAAAAAGATGAAGATGAAGAGTACACCTTTTGTGACTTGAATCTGGACAATGATATGTTTTGAGTGTTAATCAAGTTTTGTCCTTTCTATTCATAAAATAAATAAATAAATAAATCATTGTTGATTATGCATTCCCAAACTGTAACCATATATCTTATGATTGATGGTGAAATATTATAAATTAATTTACCAAAATATCATTTATAAATAACTAACCAAATTATATGAATATAAATATGAAATCAGTAACAAAAAAAAAAGGAAAAAAAATGTTGTTTTTCATTTTTGTCTTTTAAATAAGAAAAGTGTTAAGAATGTTGTCCTTTTATTTTTTTATCCAAGACATCTGCCAAACATTTTTGTACCTATAAGACTTCTCAAGCCAATTTGATGGTTACCGAGTGGAGACTTGCTCTACTAGAGATATATTATTAAAAGTATAATGTTATTGAATTACTTAAATATCTTAAAAGAGTATACACTATTATTATATTTTTATATTAAATCATAAGTTATATTATATTTTTTAATCTTTATAGTTATATAATTTATTTAATTTAGTTCTCCATCAACATAACTTAAAATCTTAATGAATAAAGATTAAATTAAATAAATTATATAAATATTAATTTAAATAAACATTTTAGCTTGAATAATATTAAAATAACTTTGATATTTTTTTCTCAAAGTTAAAAAAGTGTAATACATTTGTCCCTTCCAAGGAAGATAATTGTCAATCTTAACACAATAACAATGAAGGAGAAATATAAAAAAGAATTTGTTAATAACTTTTTTTTTAAATAAAAAGTTAAAAAATAAGTATCAAACACAAATTTGTGAGGTTATATATATATTAAAATAGTATTAACATCTATTATAAAAGAAGTGTAATTTTCTTTTAAATAAGTAGATATTTTAATTTACACTAAAGTTAAATAGAAAAATAAATAATATTCTTTAGTTTCTTGTGCTGGTAAGTAATTTTATTTATCACAACCTTTGGTCATTATTAAGTGAGATATTAAAAATATTTTACTTAAGTATTGTTGTGCCTCAATTATTGTCTTTGTTTCTTTATTAATAATTTTTTTCTAATATCATATTTTTTAACATTGATTATTTTCAAACTCATGTAATATATTAATATTATGATTGAGTTTTCAATTATATCTTAAACTTAGATTTTAAACAATTGTATAAGGTTTACCTATAATTTACATATTAATAATTTTTTATAAAATGAAAATTAACTCATAAGTAATTACATTAATATAATTAATCTGATGCATTGATGTTTAAGCGAGATGTTTATAGGAAAACAAATTGAAAAAACAAGAATTTTACTCTAGTGACCATTGATGCTCAAATAAAAAGGTTCCACAAAGAGAGAAAATTAGTTATGTAAGTATTTTGTTCAAGTGACGTGTAAGATGCTAAAGCAAAATACTAACAGAGGAGAGAGATCATTAATACTTTTTTATTGTTGCTCAAGTGGTCATAATAACACTTAAACGAAGAATAAATAAAACAAATTATTTTGTTCTAAAGGTACTTTGCTCAAGTGTAGAGGAAGATGTTCGAGAAAAGTGACCCTAACCTCAAGCCATATGAGATCGCTTAAATAAAGAAGGACAAAACCAAAGGATTTTGATACTAAAAGAATATTGTTTAAGTATGTTCAAGTGAAACACCAATGTTTTGTAGAAAGAGAACACAAGATGAATGAAGTATGGTTTAATACCCACTTTTGATACATGTATACGAGACAATAAAGTTGAGTTGAACTTGAGATTGATGCTTAGAATAAACTAATGTGTATGTTTGATTTGATACAAGTTAACATAGGGCAATAGTCCATAAATGACAAAATGTAAGAGCAAGGTGTAGGCAAAATTTGAGTCATGTATATATATGATATATATTTAAATGTGTTAGAGTTCATTATTTATTAAGCTTAAATAATAAAGTGATCTGACTAAATTAAAAAGGTTTGACTAAAGGCATATGTCATGAAAATAAAATTGTGTAGAGACCATAGAGCAATTTCTAATTTGATGAGGGGCCAAATTGGAAATACTAAAACTTAAGTAATTAACCTAATTTTGGTTATTTTAAGGGGTCATGGTCCCCTTCTGGGAGCACGTAGACAGAATATAGTTACAGTCCCGTTCTTTTCTTTCTATCCTCATCAAGAAAGAAAATCAAGAGGGAAATACATGTGCTCTTTAGGTGGAAGACCATAAGATCAATAGTGCTCTAAAAGGGACATCATTATTATGGCTAATTCAGGTACGTTTTCGCATTTAGTTTATAACATGTTTAGAGTATGAGATTATATATATATATATGTTTGATAATTAGATTGAAGATCATATTTAATTATCAGTTTTCCTAACAATTGGTATCAGAGCAACCCATACTTAATTCATGTTTGTCTTTAGAAATTACATTTAACAAAATTCAGATTCTGTCTAATTAATAACTTAATTCATGTTTGTCTTTAGAAATTACATTTAACAAAATTCAGATTCTGTCTAATTAATAACTCTAGTTGGAGAATAATCTTCAAATTTTATGTACCCTTTACATTCAGATTTGGGGTAAAATCCCTAATTTTAAAACCTAGTTTCGAATTTGGGGTAAATTCCCAAATTCCCAATTCGAGCCTGCTACGACCCTCCTCGTGGCCCATCCTGCATATACGTTGGCCCCCTTCACACCGCCACCAAAGAAACCCTTGAAGCTCTTTACTCTCAGGCGCGGGATGCGTATTACAGTGGAGAGCCTTTGGTACTCGATGACATGTTCGATAGAGTAGAGTTGAAGCTTAAGTGGTATGGTTCCAAGTCAGTTGTCAAGTACCCTCGATGCAGTATCCGGAGGCATTCCACATATGCTGATGTTGACGGCAGGAAGATCTGTCTTTGGCTTTTTCATTAGCAAGCTTATGGTCCCTATTTCTTGCACTTGGCTGTTCAGCTTGTGTTTGGCCTATATTTTACACTATTACCACAGCTTATCAAAAGACATTCGACACGGGAGGATTGTCATATGGTAGCCAAGCATCAAGAATAGGGCTTCTTTTTGTGGTCAATAACATTATCTTCATGGCACTCGGTTTGGTCATTGGCTACCCAATTGCTTCAGCTTCAATTAAGGTGCTTCAAGGCCTGTGGATGGGTGATTTAGCGGCACTAAAGGGTTCATGTCCAAATTGTGGAGAAGAGGTATTCACATTTGTGAAAACGGACAAGGCTGATGCCTCTCCTCATAGAGTAGATTGTCATGTGTGTGAATGCTTATTGGAATTTCGCACCAAAGTTGAGCAATCTGATTTAAGATTAGGTAGACAGTGGGTTTATGGACATATTTACCTTGTTCGAAGATCCCGACGCTAGAGAGAGCCATAAAACTTCTTCCCATCAGGACCTTACATTATTGTGAATATTAATTAGCTAGTAAGGAATGGATAAAACCAAATTCTATTCAATTCTTCTTGGTCCAGAACAGTTTTGTTAGATCGCAGAAGCCATGGGTTTCACTGGTGCTGATGCTTATAAAATAGTGAATGGTGCGGTGAATTAAAAATTAAAGTGTATATATATATATAAATTAAAATTTTTCAAAACAATCCAACTTAAAGTGCATATACAGAAATTATAAATTTGGTTTTGTTATATAAATAAAATATTACTTTTTGGTAGTTTAATATTTTTGTGAACAAATTGAGTCAAGATGTCACCAAAGTAACCTCTCTTGAATTGGGTAGTTCATGAAAAATTTTGAATATTAGTGTTTGTGTATATTCATGCGAGTATTAGTCGACTCAAAGGAAGATTAATATTTGGCCGAATTGCATATACACTTGTAATGATAAACATGTGATAATTATAAAGATTTGCTTTGTCGATGATAAATCAATCCAAAGACTGGTTTGTTGTTGGACATGCTTTATTGTCAATGTTTGATTATTATAACAAGATACCTCTAGCAGTTAATATTACTGTCCAAAGACTTGATATTGATGGTGCATTGGGTGTCTTGAGATGGGTTAAACCATTATTTGAATATATATTTTATTTATAATTATTTATTTTTTTATAATGTGAGCATAATTAATTTATTTCTCTTGTTTTTAATTTAGCTACAATTGATTCTGTATCTGCCAATTTAAATTATGTTCCGATCCTCAAAAGTATATTTTCTACTTTGGTCTGTTCTGAAGTCAATTTAGCGTCAGTACCTAGTAATACATGGTGGTTAGACTCAGGTACAACTACTAACATCAGTGTTTCTATAAAGGGTTGCCTAAGCTATCGGAAGCCAATTGATTATGAAAGATGGATATATGTTGGAGATGACAAATCGATAGAGGTGGAAGCTATAGGACATTTTAAATTGTTATTGAGTACTGGTTTTTATTTGGATTTGAAAGACACTTTTGTTGTGCCGTCATTTAGACGGAATTTGGTTTCAGTTTCTTATCTGGACAAATTAGGTTATTTGTGTTCATTTGGAAACAATAAGTTCAGTTTGTCTTTTAATTCAAATATTATTGGAACTTGTTCACTTTTGCCTTATGATAATCTGTATTTACTTGATAATGTGACCACCTATAATGAAACCCTTAATACAGAATCACGGGGTACTAAACGTAAAATTGATGATACTCACTCAGGAGCATTATGGCACAGGCGCTTAGGTCACATCTCTAAAAATAGAGTTGAACGACTTGTCTTAAATGGAATCTTAGAGTCCATTGACTTCACAAACTTTGATGTTTGTGTTGAATGCATTAAGGGCAAACAGACCAAAGCGAAGAGATTAGGTGCATATAGAGCTACAGACGTCTTAGAGTTGATACATACGAACATTTGTGGGCCATTTCCTACACCTTCGTGGAATGGTCAACAATACTTTATATCATTCATAGACGATTACTCACGATATGCATACTTATTCCTTATACATGAAAAGTCACAATCTCTAGACGTGTTCAAAACATTTAAAGCTGAAGTTGAAAATCAACTCAATAAAAGAATTAAGTCTGTCAAATCTGATCGTGGTGGTGAGTACTATGGCGGATTTGACGGTCGGTGAACGACGTCCGGGACCTTTTGCCAGGTACCTAGAGGAGTGTGGAATTGTCCCACGGTATACCATGCCGGGATCACCTAGCATGAATGATGTAGGCTGAAAGATGAAATCGAACTCTTAAAGATATGGTCGGGAGTATGATTTGTCATTCCACCTTACCGAAGTCACTAAAGACGACAGACTTATATTCCGAACGAGTACCAACTAAAGCAGCGACCAAAACACCTTATGAGCTTTGGACTGGGCGACAACCTAGTTTGAAGCATTTCCATGTGTGGGGTTGTCCAGCTGAGGCAAGGTCTTATAAGCCAAATGAAAAGAAATTTGACTCACGAACAGTAAGTGATTATTTTATTGGTTATGCTGAAAGATCCAGGGGATATAAATTTTATGATCCCACATTAAAGACAATTTTTGAGACTGGAACTGCTACGTTCTTTGAGGATATTGAGTTTGGGGGGAAGAATAAAATCAGGAACTTTGTCTTGGAGGAAGAATCGGTAACAATTCCAGAACCGATTCAAACAGTTACTTTTGATAAAGTAAGTTCGGAACCTCCACAAGGCATTGTTAATGAACCCCTTACTCAAGATGATTTGGTTGTTCATGAAGAACAAACTCAAGATCCTCAAGAACCTGTGCATCATGAGCCAATATCTTTGCGGAGATCCACTAGAGAAAGAAGAAGTGCTATTTCGGATGATTACATGGTATTTCTTCAGGAACATGAGGAAAACAATGGTATGATGGAAGATGACCCAGTTAACTTCCGTCAAGCTATGCAAGGTTCTAACTATGAAAAGTGGATTGAAGCAATGAAGGAGGAGTACAAGTCCATGCAAGACAACAAGGTTTGGGAACTTGTCCCATTACCAGAAGGTATGAGACCCATTGGTTGCAAGTGGATATTTAAGACCAAGCGGGATTCTAAAGGTAATGTAGAAAGGTATAAGGCTCGTCTGGTAGCTAAGGGCTATACCCAAAAGGAAGGGATTGACTTTAAAGAGACTTTCTCTCCAGTTTCATTGAAAGACTCTTTTAAGATAATCATGGCTCTTGTAGCACATTATGATTTGGAGCTTCATCAAATGGATGTCAAGACGGCGTTTCTTAATGGCAACATTGATGAGACGATTTATATGGTGCAACCAGAAAATTTTGTGCAGGGAGATTCAAAGAGTATGGTTTGCAAACTGACAAAATCCATTTATGGACTAAAACAAGCATCTCGTCAATGGTACTATAAATTTCATTAAGTAATTCTCTCATTTGGCTTCGAGATGAATATTGTTGATGATTGTGTATATCACAAGTTTAAGGGGAGTAAGTATATTTTCCTGATCTTGTATGTTGATGACATTCTACTTGCCACTAATGATATGGGCATATTGCACGAAACCAAGAAATTTTTATCAAAGAATTTCGAAATGAAAGATCTTGGTGATGCGTCTTTTGTATTAGGAATTCAGATATACCGAGATCGGTGTCGGGGTATTTTGGGATTATCACAAAGGAGATATATCGAAACAATTCTTAAAAGGTTTGGCATGCATGAATGTAAATCCGGGGATACTCCAGTTGCTAAGGGAGACAAGTTTAGTCTCAATCAGTGCCCAAAGGGAAATTTGGAAATTGAGGAAATGCAAAAGATTCCCTATGCATCAGCTGTAGGGAGTTTAATGTATGTCCAAGTATGTACGCGTCCAGACATAGCATACATAGTTGGGGTTCTAGGCAGATATTTAAGCAATCCAGGAATGGACCATTGGAAAGCAGCAAAAAGGGTCATGAGATATTTAAAGAGAACAAAAGATTACATGCTCACATACAGGAGGTCAGACCAGTTGGAGATCACTGGGTTTTCTGACTCGGACTTTGCAGGATGTCAAGATAGTTTGAAATCCACTTCAGGTTACATTTTCATGTCAGCAGGTGGTGCGATTTCTTGGCGCAGTGTCAAGCAAACCCTTACAGCTTCATCCACTATGGCAGCAGAATTTGTAGCATGCTATGAGGCGTCGAATCATGGAATATGGCTGAGAAATTTTGTCACAGGGCTGCAAATTGTGAAAGGCATTGAAAGACCACTTAAGTTATATTGTGACAACAAATCAGCTATATTGTATTCCAACAACAACAGAAGTTCGACTAAGTTAAAACACATCGACATTAAGTTCCTAGTTGTTAAGGAAAGAGTACAAAGTGAACAGATTTCCATAGAACATTTAGGGACAAACTCCATGATAGCAGATCCTCTAACTAAAGGACTTCCGCCCAAGGTCTTTCATGAGCATGTTGCTCACATGGGTGTTTTACAGTTTGAGGAATTTGTGGTTTAGTGGGAGTTAGTCATTTTCATATATTTTATGTTCTATGTTTAATTTTATATATGTATACATTGGTTTTGGACATATTTGGTTATCTATAGATATGCGGTTTTCTTGTTCATTCATTACACTTTGTACATTAAGGTTATTATATCGATCTTGATAAGTTAAAGTTTGGACCAGTTGAAAATAGACGTGTACAGATCACCTTCACGTAATTTTTCATGCTACAAATTTCATGATGAATCCATGTCATTTGGTTATGTCAGGATGAGTAATCATTGTTGGTTTTAGTTGTGATGATGCAATGAAAATCTGGTTTGGTTCTATATCTTGATATGATTAATGGATAGGACTTTTGAAATATGCTAAAGGAATATAATGACAATTTTGAGCTCATAAAGTCTAACACATTTGTGAGGTTGTAAGGACATATGTATTTGTGACCAGTGGGAGATTGTTGGCAAAATTTGGGTCATGTATATATATGATACATATTTAAATGTGTTAGGGTCATTATTTATTAAGCCAAATAATAAAGTGATCTGACTAAATTAAAAAGGTTTGACTAAAGGCATATGTCATGAAAATAAAATTGTGTAGAGACCATAGAACAATTTCTAATTTGATGAAGGGCCAAATTGGAAATACTAAAACTTAAGTAATTAACCTAATTTTGGTTTTTTTAAGGGGTCATGGTCCCCTTCTGGGAGCACGTAGACAGAACGTAGTTACAGTCCCGTTCTTTCCTTTCTATCCCCATCAAGAAAGAAAATCAAGAGGGAAATACAGGTGCTCTTCAGGTGGAAGACCATAAGATCAATAGTGCTTTAAAAGGGACATCATTATTATGGCTAATTCAGGTACGCTTTCGCATTTAGTTTATAACATGTTTAGAGTATGAGATTATATTATATATATATATATATATATATGTTTGATCATTAGATTGAAGATCATATTTAATTATCAGT